TAACTTTTACCAATTTAATTAATGTTGAAAAATCTATTTATTTTAAAAAAATTAATTATTTTAAAAAATTATTAAATATCCAATGAATCGAGCTAAATCAACTCGATCTATATCGGATTGATTCAATTTGAATTAAACAAAAAAAAATTAAAATCTAAACTAATTAAGTTTAATCTATTTAGATTATATTTTTATTCAAACTCAAACCAACCAACTTATGAACACATTTAGTAAAATACTAATATAGAATCTGTATAATAAAAATTATAAGTATTGGTGTAATATAGAAGTCTCGATTAGGACACAAATATACAATAAATTACTAAATGCAATGTTTAGTTTATAATAAGTTTATCATTAATGATATATTTTTATAATAACAGTTTCTTTCTTTATTTTTTATCAAATAAAAAATAGAAAAGTGATTCAAATTAAAAAAATCTTAATTTTGCTTTGTATTAATTTTAATCCATTAAGGTTAGTTTTATCATCTTGTACTTTTTTTTAATACATGCAACTTTTCAAATAGTAACAATCGAATAACTCATTTCTTTTGGTAATGAGATTTTTTTTCTTCAAAAAGATACTAGTAAAACACACTACCATTAAATAATATAAGTTGTGTTTGAAAATTCATTCAACACTAAGTGAACAAATATTTATCATTTTTTAATGTAACAAATTAAAGTAAAAGGAATAATGAAGCTGAATCAACGTTTCGTTACAAGTAATAGAGATATAATAGCAGTCTTTGTACTGTTATTTGCTCACATAGAATAGAAAATAAGTGATTTAAAAAAAAAAAATTGCTTTTGAGTTTTTGTTCATAGAGATTAGTTTTATCATCTTGTAATTTTTTTATGCATGTAACTTATAAAAGAGTAATAGTAGAATAACTCATTACTTTTGGTAATGAGATTTTTTTTTCTCTAAAAGATGCTATCATATATAATTACATAAAAGAAATTATCGTGAAATGATATATGTTGTATTTGAAAATCCATTCAACAACAAGAAAACAAATATTTTTTATTTTTCAATGTAGTAAAGTAAAAAAGAAAAATAAAGTTAAATTGATGTTATATCAAACTTAATTAGTGTATAAAAACATGCATAATACATGTAACTTTCATATTCAAATTATACTTATGTCAAAGGTTATTGGGAAAAACCCAAGTCCCACATCGACTAGAGATTAGGCAATTGAATAATATATAAGTGGAAAGCAACCCTTACCTTACAAGCCGACTCAACCCTACAAAACCGGCTTGTAAGGTGAGGGTTGCTTTCCACTTATATACTATTCAATTGCCTAATCTCTAGTCGATGTGGGACTTGGGTTTTTCCCAATACACCCCCTCACGTCCAGCACTATTGGGCTTGGTACGTGGATAAATGGTGGGTGGCCCTTTTTAATGATCTAGGATAGGCGGGACTTGGGTTTTTTTCCAATACACCCCCTCATGCCTATGAGGCATGCATCAATGGTGGGTGGCCCATTTAAAGTGGATCTAAATGGCTCTGATACCATGTTAGAATAGTGGATTAAGCCTAACTCAACCCTACAAAACCGGCTTGTAAGGTGAGGGTTGCTTTCCACTTATATACTATTCAATTGCCTAATCTCTAGTCGATGTGGGACTTGGGTTTTTCCCAATACACCCCCTCACGTCCAGCACTATTGGGCTTGGTACGTGGATAAATGGTGGGTGGCCCTTTTTAATGATCTAGGATAGGCGGGACTTGGGTTTTTTTCCAATATACCCCCTCATGCCTATGAGGCATGCATCAATGGTGGGTGGCCCATTTAAAGTGGATCTAAATGGCTCTGATACCATGTTAGAATAGTGGATTAAGCCTAACTCAACCCTACAAAACCGGCTTGTAAGGTAAGGGTTGCTTTCCACTTATATATTATTCAATTGCCTAATCTCTAGTCGATGTGGGACTTGGGTTTTTCCCAATAAAGGTGAAATTAGTGGATAAAACCAAGCAATTCTCGATTCTAATCCAAAATTATATAAATTCATTAAAATAAGAAGATTATATAAGAATATAAGTACTTTTTGATGGGCTTAATATGTGAGTTCAAATCTAATAAAATTAATATAAATATCAAATTTAAGAACGATTTGAATATCGAAATACATTTTACAAATATATATATCTTTTTAGAAATTCTTCGGTACCCACTATAATTGTGGAGTATCGGAACAGTTATTTTTTTTTTTATATATAATTATTTGTTTTATTTTTATTTTAATTTAATATTTTTAATAATTTATATGTATCGTTATATTATTTTTATATTTTTTAATTTATATCTTAATATAGCATCTATTATAATTAAAAAGTTTAATATTATATTTTGTCAATATGTTTTAATTTTTCTTTGGTGATAATTTTTTTAAATTTATAGTATAAAATGGTTTTTCAGTTATATTATTTAATTTTTTTATTTTAATGTTTTTATAATATTATTATAATTTTTTGTTTTTAATTTTTTAATTTAGTTAAATATAAATAAAATTTATTATGAAAATTGACCTTTTGATTATTTTGTTTTGAATTAGTCTTTTTGATTGATTTATTTTATATAAATTTTTAATCTAAAATTTATTTTGTTTTAAATTTATTTTTTAAAATTTATTTGTTCACATAATATAATATATCAAAATTCTTCAGTTTTCATAAGAACCGTAGCAATTTTCTTTTCTTTTTCTCCTCGAATAGATACATCTTAGAACTAACCACCTTAAGAATAATCAATATTAGATATAATAATTTTCTTTTGAATTTTTATCCATGAAGATTAGTTTTATCATCTTTCAAAGAGTTTCAACCGGATAACTGATTACTTTGGTAATAAGATTTTTTTTTCCTTTCAAAAACATACTAGATATATTTATTGAAAGAAACACATTCTCATGATATTCATTGTGTTAGAAAATTCATTCTAACACCGAGTGAACAAATCCTTCTCATGATATTGATTTTTTTTTTTTAACTGGTGTGAAAAGAAAAAAAAACCGTAATGGAGATACTGACACGCACGCATAAATCTTCAAGCTAATATCTTTCACTCACAATAAGCATGTCATTGTATAATATCAGCCTGCTTACATAGATAAGAAGAAAAAAAAAGTGATTTAAATAAATTAAATTAAATTAATTTTGTGTTTTTATCCATGGAGAATAGTTTTATCATCTTATTGGAAGAGTTACAACTAAATAACTCATTACTTTTGGTAGCATATATTTATATAAAGAAAAAACACACTCTCATGAATTGAAAAAGGCTGTACGTGTTTGAAAATTCATTTAACACCAAATGAAGAAATATTTCTCATTTTTCAATACAATAAAATAAAAAAAGTTAATCATCCATATATTATTAAAGTAAAATTTTTTACAGTGACAACTAATCATATTTTTTAAATAATTTTTTATTTTTATTTCATTAAATAAGTAACTGATATGATATTATTAAAAGATATGATTGATTACCAGTGTAAAAAAATTTATACTGACAATGCATAAGTGATTAATTCAAATAAAAGGAATAACAAAGATGAATTATCGTTACATTAGACGTAATTAAGACATAAACACGAGAACATAAATCTTCACATACATAACTTTCATGCTCATAATCAAGCTTATCATCAATGATATATTTTATAATAACATTTTTCTTAATTATCTTTACTCACAAAAAAAATAAAAAAAATAACTTAAATAAAGATATTAATTTACTTTTATTTTTTTTATCTATGGAGATTATTGTTATCATCTTGTACTTTTTTAATACATACAATTTTTTAAAGAATTACAATTGAATAACTCATTACTTTTGGTAATTGAGATTTTTTATTTTTAAAAAGGTGCCGGTATATACTTATATGTCTGTATATATTTATATATATATATATATATATATATATATATATATATATATATATATATATATATCATTTTTCAGTGCAATAAAGTAAAAAAAAAAACTGAAATATAATAACGTTACATTAAACATAACTGATATATAAATACGCGTATAAACTTACACATTAATAACACACAATCTTTTATATTTTATATTTGTAACTTTTCATAAATAAACAAGTACTTTTATGTAAAGATAGAACTTTTCATACTTTGTATTCTTTGGTAACCCATGAGCAAAATACTTTTCTTTTCCCGGATCATGTTATTTCTTTTTGTTAAGTATGTTTATAGTGAAGAAAAATAAATATGAAGCATATGATGTAATCCGAAAGAACATTTGATTTTGAAACAGCGAGATGACACAAAGGAGCACAAATAAGCCTGTTACCCTAAAAAAGTGATATGAGGCAAGATTCCTAAATTCCACTGAGAAAATGACAATCTTATTTGAAGAAAAAAACATAGGGTTGTAACAGACAAGAGAGCTTTATCTATCTATATATCCATCAACAGTAGAGGTAAAAGTGGGTTCCAGATCACACAGGTAAAATTAGTGAGCAGGAACAGAAACACTCTTGGTCCCCCCGTCCTAGAATCTCTTCTGCATTGGGCACTTGTAGCCTACAAAGGAAAATGAAATGCTCTTTTTTACCACCAATGACAAAAGTTTTTCACTCTCATAAAAGTTGCATCCCCAATTTGATCCTCTGTGAAATCTTTCCCACATGCTGACAAAGTTTCCTCTCAGTCTCAGACTCACACACAATTTTACAGTTACCTCTCTCACTCCTTTCCCACCCCATCACCCATTTTCTCAATTTTCTTTCTCCCTTTTTCCTACCAAAATGAATAAAGTATCAGTCTAAGATTTCCTGCATTCAATTCCCGTCTCTCCCTTTCACCACTGACGTGTGCATTGGGAACCCACCTCACTATAATAATTAATAATACTTTCATTATAATATTACACAATTCAATAAAATAAAAATAAAAATAAAAGGTGGGGCTCTCAAGGCAAAGGAAGAACCAGGTGACACACACTGCCACACACATGAGACCCCCCCTCACCCCTTTTTTCCAATCTAACCCCTTATAAATACTGACCCTCACCCTTCATCTCTTCCTCAGTGATTCAGTCTCTCAGTAAATTCACTGCACACAGTTTCCCTTTCTTCTCTTCCTTAACCAAACCAAACAAATTTCATTCCTTTGATCTATCTATCTATCTACCACCATGGCTTCTTCTTCTTCTTCTGTGTCCACCACAGCACCTCCTTTGTACTTTGATGAGAAGTGGAAGCTGTCAAAGAAAGAAGGATCCGCAAGAAGCTGCAGCAGGTCTTCAAGCACCCCTTTCATCAAGAGTAATTCCTCACATAGAAAGTGTGCTTTTGCTAGCAAGTGTGCCAGGCTCGTGAAGGAGCAAAGGGCTCGTTTCTACATCATGAGAAGGTGTGTCACAATGCTCATATGCTGGCGTGACTACAGTGATTCCTGAAGAAAATTAAGGGTTTGTGAGGGAGACACACAGGGTTGCTGAGAGGGCCTAAAGTTCTCTCCTTTTGAGTCCCCCGCTTTTCCTTTTCTCTTGCTTTAGATCAGATCCCTTTTGGGGGTTATGGAGATATACCTGTACATAAGAAATTGTTTCTCTTGTCTAGAAATTTTCAATTTTGTTTGTTTGTTTTTTTTTAAGGTTGTTATGATGATAACTTCATCAATGGAGGATCATGTTTGGTGTTAACTTTTGTTGATTTGGAATGAGAATAGAAGAGAATATGTTTAGAATGGGAAAATTAATTGAAATATAATATAAATTATATAGCTTAGTGATATACAATTTCTGCTTGCTAGTGCTAGCTTCTCGGTGATGTTGCTTCTTTTTTTCCTTTTTACTTTTGCTCCTCTTAAATGCAATTTCCGTTTAGGGTTTAGTTCAGTTTCCGTTTGTGGGTGTTGTTGGTCTTTGGGATTGAGGAACAAGTGATGGGTGTTTGTTTGTTTGAGATCTCAAATCTCTGAGATTCCATTCAAACCATCGCAGCTGAGATGAGGTAAGCTACGCTCTCTGCTCTGTAGATCTAAACGTGCTTCCTTTGGCTGACGCAACATTGGCCTTTGTTTAATCCTTTTTTCTGCAATTATTTTGATGACAACAATTACACGGTTCAAGTTCAGAACAGATTAAACTACTACTATTAAATAAATTAGAAAGTAATCATAAATTGGTAGTACCATTAAATATCTTTTAATGATTTTTATATATAATTAGTGTCTCTATCCTTGTTTTAAGGAAAACCGTTGTTATTGTAATGATTATTTAACCTATAGCCGTGTAGGTAAGATTAAAGGAAACTTCATTTTATGCTAAATGTTAGTATAGTGGTCTAATGTTATTTTTATTTAGAAATTGAAGAGTACTAAATTTTATTTAACCTTATTCTAGAAGGGTGTGGTTGGGCGTGACTTGCAATGGCTAAGACTCGGATGGATGATGGCGTTACAGTTATTATTATATTGCAATTTCTTGATTGGTAAAGTAAATTAAAAAAAGAATGGTGTGAATGACGAAAGTGTCCTGTAACTGCATGCTAGATAGATAGAGCTGAGTTGAGTTGTTTGACCACTGCATGGACCACTTTGACCCCTATCTATCATCTTCCTCAGGGGGGTATTTTTGGTGTTTTATTCTCTTCCTTCGTCCTCATCCTCATCACAACGTGCTTTGCTTTATTATTTTGGGGGCACATTGGACCATGAAGCAGTGAGTGAATTTGAATTGGCCTTGGGAATGAATCATTACTTCATTAGCTAATTTGGGTAATTGTTTGATGAAAATAATGGCCTTTTCTTTGGCGTCTAACCGTAGAAAAACGTCTAAATGTGGCAAAGGTTGTGACAGTAAATAATTAAATTAAATGACTTGTTACAGTAAAATTATATTATTAGTTTATAGCTTTGGGAATGGCAGGCTGGCAGGGGATGGATGATGATGAGTGATGAGTGTTGAGTGTTGAGTGTTGACAATGGCATGCCATCACAAGAGAACCAAACATGGACTCTCACGCAAAGACGATACCAAACTGTATACTACACGCATAAACTATTATATTAATGCCTAAAATATTTTATATTCATATCTACTCGATCTTTTGGCTTTCTTTTCAAATTTAGATATACAACTATCAATCAAAAAGAGATTATATTGATATATGCCTGCTTTGCTGATTATAAATTGGAATTATTTGTATGAGATTTTAAATTTAAATGCTGTTGTAACTGTTGTACAGAAAACAATATTATTGTATAATTAACCTTTAGATATGTCTTATTTTAGTGAGTCAAGTAATTTGATTAAAAATTATTTTTATTGCTATGAACTTTGTTTCACTTGTTTTTTATTCATGTTGTGACAACAGTAATTTCAAATTTTAAAATAGGAATTAACTTGTTTTGAATTGTTTCATTACCATTTTTTTTATTAATAATAGAAAGACTTAACTTATGCACAAGGTGTACCCAAGGGAAGCATTGTAGAATTATGAATTACAAGAGTGTTATATCATTTTTTTTTTTGGCTCTTAAAACACTACACTTTAATCAGTAAACTAGTTACACAGAAAATTATTTATCAGAAAAAATAATTGTTCTATGTTTATTGTCTAAAATCATAAACTAACGGGCATTTTCCTAATCAGTATTTTTTTTTTTTTGAAATGACATATTATCATGGAGTGAAAACAAAATTTATTATATTTAAAGGGATTCAAAATAAAAATTACTGTTTTATGGGAACATAAAATGAAATTGTCATGTTTGCCATTAATCATATTTATAGAGGGGTTAAAAATTTTACTAATGATAATTTCATATTAGGAAGAAAAATAGGTGATAATCAACATTATACAGTCAAAGATTAAAAAATAAATTTTTATAAGACCAAAATTTATTATATTTTAGGAATACATTTAATAGAGTTATCAAAATATAATGTTCAAGTCAAAGTGTAGAAAATGATCTAACTCAAAATTAGTATAAGATATTTTTGTTAGGTTAGCTAAATTAAATTGATTAATTTTTTTGTCTAACTTTATATATTTCTAAAAAGGAAGAGATGGAAGACAGTCAAATAAACTCATTATCTTTTGGACAAAAAAATCATGAGATTCACCTAATTAGTTAGAGCCTCTAATTTTAGAGCTCAATTCAACACAACTTGTTGGATGAGACCACTTTTAAAAACTTCAACATCTAAGCCTATAATTAAAACATTTATTTATAACATTATACGAAGACTAGCATGCCCACTATCATGTATGGTTATGATTTACCACAACTTTTAACTTTTAGACTAATCTCATATCAACATCAACATGGTGCACCCTCTGACATCAAATTATTTCTCTCATTCTTAGATTAAATCTTCAATTTTCACCCTCGTCAGTTTATTGTTGTGCTCAAACATAGTTTGTTGTCATGTTCAGATGCGTGTTTCATTGTGTTGTTCTATTGTAGCACTTTATTTTCCCTCTGTCACGCTAAGTTATCGTCTTTTATCTTAGCGCATCAGTGTTGCATTTCATCATGCATGCTACTCCATTGTTGCATTCCATCATGGTGCTCTATTGTAGCTAATGCCATAGTTGATTGTTAGGAGTTCATTGTCACTGACAACTTCCTCTTTATCACTAGAGACAAATTTGAATATAAAAGACTAAAAGGAGTTAAAATTAAATAAGAAGAGTACATGATAGAAATATATAGTCAAAAATAATCTAAAAAGTGATTAATAATGATACATGGTGAATCACTTGATAGTGATCCATCTTAAATTTCATCATAACATTAATAGATAAAATGTAATAACAAAATTCATTATTAAGAAAACAACTTTTTTTGTGTATTTTAATAAATGTTTTTGCCTTTCCACATTCTCTTTAATAAAGAGAAATTATAATTATATTAATTTTTAAATTTGATTATAATATTCAATCGATGTGCCTTTTTACATTATTATTAGATCATCTAATATTAGGGATGGATATATGGATTCAAGCCCGCCAATCAATCCATTTAACTTATAATCCATACAAATATTGATCCAATTTTTTAAAGTTCGTATAAGTATAACAAAGTTTATAGTCTCGCCTGCAAAGTTCGTGGACTTTGCGGACTTAATCTGCGAACCTCGAAGATAGCTTGTATAAGAACAACAATTTTTTGTTAATATATGTAAATTTTATTTTTCAAGAGTTTGATTTATTATTAACAATGTTTGATGTTGTTACAATTATATTTATATCAATTTTTATGTATTTTTTCCTTCATGTTTTCATAGTTTAGAAAAGGAGAAATAAAGCTTATTGATTTTTTAATATTTATTAAAAAAATGAAACATAATTATGTTCGCAGATCGATGCTTTTATTCATGGGCTGGATATAGGCCCTCAAAAAATAGTTCATTTATTTAATGGTTAAACTTATTCAATTCCTTAAAAATGCAAGTTTCGCAGATCGAATCTTAATTGGTCGAATTGATCATTATATCCACGCTATCTAATATGTGTTAAAAATAGAGTTTTGTGTGAAAATTGATGAAATCATGTTAACTATTATCAAATAATACAAATGAAACAATAAGACGTAATACATGTATTTTATTAAAATAAATTTTCTTAAATATATTTATAGACAAAAATTAATATATCATATTTAATAGTTTTGACTTTTAAATCCTTAACAATTATTTTACGAGTAGACTTTTCTTGTTTTCAACATTTCATTGTTGACCAAATATAATTTTTATGAACTAATATTTTAAAAGTATTTGACAAAGAATAAGGATTTAAAAATAAATATTTAAATGTAAAAATAAAAAATTAATGATATGAATTAGGAATCTTATACTTCTCATATAAAACTGTTCACATTAAAAATAAAAAAAAAATAAAAAAGACCTTTCATTTATAATCTGCTTTACAAAATTGACTTTTATTTAATTAAAATCTTTTCACTTAGAAAAATCATTTCTTAATTGCTTTACGGATTTGACTTTTTTTTATTGTAAATTTGTAGTGGATTCAACATTTTTTAGATATCAACATTTTCTTAAAATTATTTTTTAGTTCTCATCATTAATTTTAGATAATCTAGTATTGACATAATTCATAAAATAAAAAATGTTAATCGAGATAATTAAGATAAAATATTAAAAGTAGTGATTTTGCTCTGAAAAAGTAATATATTATTAAAGGCAAATAAATAAATTAAAAGTAAGAATAATATTAAAAAATAATAAAAGTATATTAAATTGTAGAAGTAAATTATATACAATTACAAAAAATATCAAAAGATCTAAAAGTAACAAAGTTTTTTTTACAAATGTTAAAATCAAATGGAAACATAAAACATTCTGAATTTTTAAAAGAAAAGGTATTTGACAGCGCCGCGATAACCATTAACTCGATCAGAAAAAAAGAAAAAAAAAGAAAAAAAAAAGGAATCTGATAGAATCGTTAAAACTTAAAAACATGTCACAAGTCTTGAGAAGTGCATCGCAGATACAGACAACGAACTGAACACTGTTTTGTTTCTTTTGTTATTTAAAGCTAAACAAATTTAGATGAACATACCAAACATGGGAGCGTGTTTCACATTTTACTGTTTTCGTTTTTGCAAATGCAAGGACACAAAAATTTTCAACCAACCATTTTTATTTTTGAAAAAAATTAATTAAATAAGGCATTCCGAGTGTTCAGTCCTCTCAATATGATGTTGCAAAAATAAAATTCAGAAACAAAAAATGTTATATGAATTGTTTATCAAATAGAAACGAGCTTCAATACGGTAGAAAGTTCTTCTCGTGGTAGTTGAATAGAATGAAATAAATAAATAAATCGAGGATTCCTTTGTTGAATAGTTAAATAAAAATGGATAAAAAAGCAACTTGCATTTGTATAATAAACTTTAGAAACCTACTAGCAACTATTTTAAGAGTAGTGGCTAAAACATATTAAATATTTAAAAAAAATAGTTAGTGATGGATTAATTAACATTTTCCGATGTAAATGTCATATTTGTTCATACTTAATTATTGTGGGCTATATCATATGATAAATGTTAATTATTAGGTGATTGTTTCCATGTTTTGGGTTTTCGGGTGTATCTATGGGCATAGTCTAGGTGATTGTTTTTTTGTGGTCAAAAGGAAGATTTTGCTTTCCCTTCAAAACCTTCTTTTGGTGCACTTTGTTGATAGTAATCAATGAAGTATCATTCTCGAAATTTAAGATAAGTTGAAATGTTAATGATTGGGATTTGTTTGGACCTGCCGAAAGAACATCCAATACTATAAAATTAAAAATTAAATAAAAAAAAAACACTGCGGCTGAAGGCGTAAAATGCAAACAGGATGATCACGAAATAAAGATAAAGAAAATGTACTTTTTTTCTTCAATTTTGATCCAATTAAATGTTCATTTGTTAATGGGTTTTACATTTTATTTTTTATTAATAAAAAATGTTACAAAAATAATATCAACATTTAAACATAAATTTTTTTGTATATATTATCTTAATTTTTACTATAAACTGATAAGTTAAATAAAACTTGATTATAATTAAGATAAGTTTTGATAATATATTAAAAAAATTAGTTTAAAATTTAACTTAATCTTATAAAATTAACGGATAAAATAGAAAGTGGAAACTCAGACAATAGAAAAGTTATAAATTTTTTTGTACTTTATAATATTGACAAAAGTTGATAAAAAAAAAAAAAAGCTCTAGAAAAATATTTGACTTTTTATTTACATATTATGAAATAAATGCTAAATGTTTATTTATTATTTCATAGCATATGCCCAATTAAATACATGTTAACAAATCTTTGAAAAGTGAAAGCATAATCATCCCACATCTAAACCCACTTATGGATGGATGATTTGTAAAAATCTCCACCGATATTTGAATTTGATTTAAAGCATTAAATATTATTTGACTGCTTTCTATTGCTATTAGTGTGGTATCATGCTGGAAACAATTGAAAGAAGATTGAGCATGGTATCTGTTATTTTCCCCCTTCCCCACATTTTTGACTATCCATTCAGCAAACAATGATGTCTTCTATATATAATACAATAAACTACACACAAAAGAGATGATAAGAAAAGTGATAATAATTTATAAATGAAAAAAAAAATATTATAAAAATATGTTATATCAATAACATTATTCTTAAAAGTAATTATAGGGTTTGAAGGAACGTGATAGGGAACAGAGATGCTCATCTATGATTATAATCTCTATATACATATCATCTGAGTACATATTTGATCAGTTATCTTAACTGTGGTCAAAAAGCATTCCATTTATTTCATTAACCATTGTCCCTACTTCCTTTGTTGAAATAAATCCAACAGTGTGCGCATCTGAATTATTATGCAACTACAGCACTCCTAATAATTAGTTGATAGCTCCTATAGTCCTATTCCATAATTATTAAATGGACCTACTTTCCTCTCCCTCACTTTTTATTCTGTGATCTTTGCTAACGCCTGACTTTCCATATACAACTCACTGTAAGAGTTAAATAAATTTGTATTCACTTGCTCAATCATTCATTTGAAACTATTAATTTTCTTTTATATTCTAGAATCATTAACATTTACCATAAAACATGCACACACACCACAAACAAAATTTTAATTTTTTTTCTTAGTAACTCATTTGTAAACTTGATATATCAACCATCGAAGTTTCCTTTTGCAACATTCGCTAAGCTCATATATTGCCTTCAAAAGCTCAGGCCTTTTAAGGGTCTCACTTTTTAGTCAAAACTCCTCATTAATTCATTCACTTACTTTGTTTCTTTATTGAAAATGGAAATAAATTACACATGACATATACACAAAGAATTGGTCCCATTGAAACTGGAGTCGGTCATTTTCCTTAAGCAATATCTCATATTTAAATTTTATAGATGAAAAAAAATGTGATTAAAAAATAATCTCACTAAAAATTGTCAAATAGATTATTTGACAAAAATTAATCATTGATAAAATCAATGCAAATTTTGTACTAATAATATGATAACAAAATCATTAAAAAGGCAACACATATACATAAAAAAAAATATCATTATTATTTTTAATTTTGAAATAAAATTGGTGTAAGTACAACCCTACCCAGAAAGTTAAGATAGCTGCATACCCTTTATAGAAAATAGGTCGTATGGTGGGAGAATTACTAATTTCTTAGAGTACAAGGCCCATTTTCCATCTAACCTTTGGGTAACAAAAAAAAAACCAAGATAAGGTACCCCCTGAAGACAGTGGAAGGATGGAAATAGAAGTTACCTCGGGCTTGAGTAAAACAATACTATTGGCCAACGAAAAAGCCCGTGGGTAAACAGTGGGGGCTTAGTAGAAGACAAAACGTAACAGGATTAGAAGGTGTTATGTTGGGCTTGACCTAACTCCTAAGACACATATAGGTCCACACATATGGTCAAGAGTCACATCACCGCACACATGATTTAAAATCAATAAATCATAACATATCTTTTTCATATGATAAATGCCTGCATTATCAATATTTGTTTACAAAAATATTATTTTGAGATTTCAAAATATTTATTATACTGAAAAAAATCAGGGTTAGTGTATATTCTTTTATGATAATATAAAATAAAATCTAAACAAAAGATTCTATAACAACTATTGAAAAAAAAAAAAAAACTAGTGGGATTTTCATACATAACTTTCATGTTTTATTTTATGACACTATAGGCCAACTAAAAGTTTTCTTTTATGAACAAATTTTTTAATTAATAACAGTAGAATTTGTTCAACATCTTATATTAATTAAAAATAAAATTATAATAATATATAAGTGTGAAATAATTATTATTTTATAGAGTCAATTTTACAAAATTAAGTTAGGTTCTTAATTCATTTTTTAATATAATGTCAGATGATATTAAAACCTATATTTCAATGATTATTAATTGTTAGATAGTTATCTATTATTGCATCGTTATATTATTCACAGATGTTTAGTTTTACAAATTTTACACTCGAAATATTTAGTCTTTAGAGAGAGAAAAATATATTAAAAATCTCACATCAACTAAGAATAAGGTCATAAAAATGTATATAAGTGAAAAATAATATTTATCTTATAAGTCGATTTTATAAAATTGGGTTAGATTTTTAATCCATTTTATTAAGAGAATTAATTATATTCTTAATATTAATCAAATACTCTTGTACGTGTTTCATTCATTGATTAAAAAAAATTGAGATTCTTTGTTTTGGAAACAAAGTTGTGAAAGTCGGACTCGGAGACACGCATGCACTAGCTGGCAGTAGATAACAAACTGAAGAACGGAGAATTGGAGATGGAGAGGGTGTGTTTGTCCATATATAGCTTTGCTGCCTTTTTTTTCTTAAATAATTAAAAGATAATGCCAATATTATCCACAACCCTAATTATAAATTATAAACTTGCAACCACTAAATTAATGCATGTAATTAGAGGTTTGAATATATAATGGCGGTCTGATTACCCTTCACAACTTTCTTTAAATTATCATTTATAAAAGAAAACTCATCCATATTTTAAAAAATATAAGTTTTTAATAATTTCCAATTGCAATAAAATTTGTCAAATAATCCGCCATGGATAACGGTATATTCCTTCAATTTCGTGACTTTGAATTTATGGCCTCAAAATATTAATTCAATAAGTCACCACGCCGTCTTACTTCAATTTGTTAACATAACTATTCTTGCCTTATTCATATATTTTTAATTTCCTTTCCTAATACGAATTTATTGCATCTAAAAAGAATAAAATTCTAAAAGATAAAGTTTTAGAATATAATTAATATGATTCGTATAGAAAGTAGTATTATATAAACAAAAAAATTAAAGGTTTAATAACAACTCTTCAGAATCACCAATCATGAATCCAAGACGTAATAATATTCGTTACTAATATATTAATTACTTGCTACTTATGAATTTTACAATTGTGTGTACGAAAACAACGAAAGAAACAAACGAATGTTATGGCTGGGCCAGCATAGTACTGGTCTCAGATCAGCCCAAATAACTCAAAATATACTATTGGATCTCATATAAGCCCAGATAATACAGAACTACTCTCTTTGCAACTTTTGGTGGGGATTGTAACAGGACTAATGATTTTGATTTGTGCTGTGGTGAATAACGTGATAAGGGAGTTTGAATTGCATGATCAGGAATTTACTGATTTATACATTGTGGGGATGAAATAACTATTGTTGCTTGTAATTTTTTGGTTCAATATGGTGTCAACCTGTTCCTTTTGAACGTTTTGGTTCTAGCTTTTCATGCTATTCTAAGTGAAAACTTCTTTTGATAATATGATACAACCACATTGTGGGACTCGGGATTTATCTATGCTAGATGCTACATGTTGGTCACTTTTATCTACCTTGTTAACAGTGTCATTGATTTGACTCGGGATGAAGGACTCATATCAAAAACTAAATGCTATAGATCCAATAGAGGATTTTTCCTGCTGTTGATGATACGCTTGTGCTAGTAATGTTGCTACTATAATAGTGATAAACTAGATTACTTGGTAATTTGATCTAATGAAGTTTTAATATGTAAATACTCATTAGATTTGCTTTAGGTAAGTGAAAAAAGTGAAGATGTTAGTTCAACATATATATATTAAGGTGGGTACTTAGACAATAAAATGTCCATGCTAGAATGTATACTAGTAGACTAATGGTATATATTTAGATAGCTGACTCATTTATAATGATTAGATGAAAGAGGTGCAATTAATCCTAACGTTTGAGCACAATTCTAGCATGGAATAGGTTCTTTAATTGTATAGTTGACTTTAATTCTCTACTTTCAAGCGTAAGGAACATTGTGTTGTTCCCAATCACTCCCCTTCCTAACCCTATACAACACCCTCTCCCCGGACACCCTCATCTCCGCCCCCTCAAACACCAGCGTCACCGCCGGCACCGCCGCAAGACTCACCGGACCCCGGTAACACAGGTCCATCGCCCCCTCAAACACGAAATTTGGATCCTCGATCCTCGTCAGCACCCCCTTCGTCTGCTCCAGAAACTCTTCTTTCATTTGTGTCACCAGCGAGAGCGAGCCACGGTTCATTCCCATTAAGCCTGTTGTTTTCCAATCCTCTTCGGGTTCGGAGCTGCACCCGGACGAGTCCATGCACCCGAATAACGTTCCGGGTTGCGCGGCTCCGGCGATGGAGAAGGTTTCCGCGGCGAGTGTGCCCTCTGCGGAGGAGGCGTCGGCGTAGGAGACGATGACGTGGCAGAGTTTGTTTTTGTCGCAGGAAGCTGGTATGGTAAGGTTTCGAGTTTGAATTTCGCATTGAGAAGATGTGCATGGAGTTGGGGTGTAGGAAGAAGAGAGGAGTGGGTTGAAGGTTGAGTTTAGGTTTGGGAGTTTTTTGCAGTGGAGCCAGGAGAGTTGGCTGCCTGTGTCCAGGACCATGGTAACGTTCTGTGGGGGCGAGCCTACTGTCAGTGAGACGGTTAGCGTGACGTTATGATGGAATGAGAGCTTACGTGAAGGTGTTTGTGGTGTTGTTTTTTGTGCTTTTAGAGGTAACACGAGGGGGTCTTGTGATGAAGAGGCTCATGTTTGAATTTGAAGGAAAATGAAGAGAAGGGGGGTTGTGAGTAGGAGAGAAAGATAGGACTTAAAAGAGGCCATGAGTAGTTTAGAATATTGATTGAGGTTTGTGTTGGTTGGTGGGTAGATTAACTTTGCTTTGGTTTGGTTCTGGTGTTTTTGTTGAGTTGGAACTTTCAGTTGATGTTAAAAGGGAAGAGAGAGGGGTCTCTGTTGGATTGGATTGGATTGTACCATATGAGACAGTCACCGTGTGCTTCCATTATGTAGTTTCTAGCTGCATGGGACTGTTATTTAGTTAGTATTTGACTGCATGAGATATAATGAGAGTGATTTTCTAATTTCTACGGCTCTGATTTTATTGTTGTAGACATTACATCTAGTTTCACAAACCGGAGTCCATGTGTGAATTGCTCATTTAGTTGATTATATATCTTACAATTAAATCGTTGGTAGGATGTCGCATTTAATTAGTCTGATTGTGAACAGTACAAGTGTAATTGTCGATACTATTTGATGGTTACGTAATGTTAGAGTTAACAGTGTGGCATTAATTTTTTTTAGATTATTCTTTTTCTTTCGCACATCATGTATATCTCTCTGAAGCGTGTATGAGATAAAATGTGTTTTGTTTTTTAGGCATCTTATCGATCTTTTTTTCTGATGTATATTCATACATATACATATATATATATATATATATATATATATATATAT